CCCCCCCCCCCCCCACCGAGGGAGGCGGTCTGGGCAGTTACCTGCACCGAGAAACAGGACAACTGAGACCCAGCCCAGGTAGAAGGACCAGGAGAAGAAAGTCTGGATCTGGGCGTGCGGAAGCTGGCCCCACCGTTCACTGGTGTACACCGCCATGGCTACTATCATGGAAAGAGCTGGGACAAGGACAAGAGAAAGAGGGCTCAATCCCACCGCAGCATCCCAGCAGTCCTGGTACCCACACCAGCCCAGAGTCCTCACCTGCAGCATAGACTGTGATGGTTGAGATCAGGGGACCGTGACCCGGGGCAGATAATGAAGGAATGCAGGACAGGACCAGGAAGCCCACAGACACCAGGCTCCACAGGACAGCCAGAATGCAGAAGCTCTGTGTCACATGGATGTAGACTGATGGGAGATGAGACACCTGTCTGTTCCCCAATGACCACCCCTCCCCAGACAACCCACTCCCCCTTACCTGCTACTGCGTCCTGATGTTCTGTTGGCCAGATGCCTGAGTGAGCTGAAAAGTTGGGTCCCACTGCCACGAACCAGAAATTGGTGCTAAGAGCAACCAGGCAGGATATCAGGCCCAGAGAGCCAGCAAGCAGGGCCAGGGACCTGTAGGGCTCCATGAGGCCAACCCTGGGGGATGGAGAGGCTGTGGACAAAGACTGCTGGACCTTGGGAAAAGGTGAAAGCTTGTGCACCAGGACTCCTGGGTCCCAGAATTGGAGAGGGAGAAGCCGGCAAGTGATCAGGGCAGCCAGCAGTACTGTGCGACTTCAGACAAGGCTGTTTGACTTCACACAGTTCCCGGCAGCTGGCCTTCACACGTCCTCCCTTCCTGGGTTGCACAGACCACCTCTGTCCTCCTTCCCCTGTTGGTTGTGGCAGGGGAGGGCCCTGGGGTTGTCAAAACAGCAGTGGTTTATGTAGTGGTTTAGAATTTATCTCTCTGTCATAGGTTCTATGCCTCCCACCCCTTGAGCCATCAACACTAGAGATAGCTTCCTGGAAGGGGTGAGAAAGAGAGAAAGAGAGAGAGAGAGGCATGGGGTGGGGGGGCCCAGAGGTGGGAGGTGGCCAATCAGGCTCAGGTGTAACTTAAATGGGAGGGGAGATGTGGCCAGAGGGGACAGTTGGGGATGTGTGTCATGCTTTCCGGTGGTTTTGTAACCTTCCATTCTGGGAAAGCCTCAGCTCTAGGGTCTCTACCAAAGGAGGGGCTGGAGGCCAGAGCTCCAGAGAGGAAGGAAGAGGCACTTACACCCAGGGCAGGCAATGGGGTAGAAGGTTAGGATTCTGGGAGAAAGACCTGTCCATATCCTCATCTGACAAGTGGGGCGAGAGGCAGCTGTGCTGGGAGGCCCCAGCATAGGGGGGCCTCATTTCTAGGATCAGGATGACTGGGGACAGAAGTATGAGTGCAGGTCCTCTGACTCTCCAAGCATGAGTGTCTTCCAGCATCTCACCACTCCCCTTACTTGCTACTGCATCCTGATGTTCTGTTGGCCAGAGGCCTGAGTGAGCTAAGTTGGGTCCCGCTGCCACGAACCAGAAATTGGTGTAAGATGAATGCATTGTTCCCGGGAGTTGGTGGTACATACCTGTAATCCCAGCTACTCAAAAAGCTAAGGCAAGAGTTCAAGGCCAGCCTAAGCAACATTAAAAAAAAAAAAGTGAGGTGGGAGGGTGGCTCATGTCTGTCATCCCAGCTACTCGTGAGGCAGGGATCAGGATGATTACAGTTCGAGGTCAGCCTAGCGAGACCCCTTCTCAACAAAAAAGCTGGGCATGGTGATGTGTGCCTGTGATCCCTCCTATGCAGGAGATGTAAGTTGGAGGATCGCAGCCCAGGCTGACCTGGGCAAAAACATGAGAACTTACCTGAAAAATAACTAAAGCCAAAATGGCTAGAGAACTGGCTCAAGTGATAAAGCGCCTGCCTCATAAGCACAAGGCCCTGAGTTCAAACCCCAGTACTGCAAAAAGAAAGAAAAAAACAAAAAACAATGTGCCACCACCCAGATAGAAGACCCAAGAAAACTTGGCCTCAGTGAAGTGGGGAATGGCCTGGAAGAGGACCTCAGTTTGGTAATGAACTGAGCCTGAAGTCCCAGGACACCTGGCAAATAGGGGGAATCAGGAACGTCACAGAAGACCTTGTCTTGTCCTCACTGGAGACCCAACTTGACCCCTATCCCATGCTCCTGAGAACCAGTTCACCAGGACAGGCTCCCTGAGGTGGGGTGGAGGTCACCATGAGCAGCAGGGCGACCAGCACATGACTTCAGGAAGTCACCACATGACTTGGGCTTGTGGTGAGCAGAGTCAGAACACAGGCTCAGAGCCAATCTGTAACCTCGAACCCATCTCCAAACCCCAACTCCAAACCCAATCCCATCCCCATCCTCAAACTTGGCCCTGTCTTCATTCCCAACCCCAGCCTCAACCCCCCTTTCTTCTTCATTCTTCTCTCCCCCTCCTGCAATTACTACCAACCCCACCCATTTCACCTTCATTTCCCCTCCAGATCCAAGCCCATAACCCTGTTTCTTGTTTTGTGGGTTTTTTGTTTTTTTTTTTTTGTGGAACTGGGGTTTGAACTTAGGGCTTCATGCTTGCAAAGTAGGTGGTCTACCATTTGAGCCACACCTCCAGTCCATTTTGCTCTGGTTATTTTGAAGATAGGATCTCACAAATTACTTGCCCAGGCTGGCCTCAAACCTTGATCCTCCTGCATCTCAGCCTCCCAAGTAGCTAGGATTATCAGGCATGAACCACCAGTGCCCAAATCTCTTAAAGATGTCTGGAAAAAAATCAAACAAACATGTTGGATGGTGGCAGGAGAGGCACTTGAAATGGTAGAGGTAGAGGTGTGGGAAGAGGGTTCCAGACGAGGGATGGAGCCTTGGGACTGTGAGGTGGGGGCATCCACGCTAAAGACAGAATCCATACTGACAGAAGAAAGACCAGGTTCTGTGGACGCTCAAGGTGGGGCTCAGGGTCGGACAGTCTTAGAAGGACACTCCTGCAGTGATGATGTTGGGGTGTCCTGTGGCAGCTGGGGGTTGTGAAGGAGTTCTAAAGCTGGAGTAAGTTGTGTAAGACCTGGGGTGATACCACCAGAACTGGAGCCCAGGAAACCAGCAATGTGGAGTGTGCTCAAGCAGGAGACAGGAGTGCTCAGGAAAAGCCCCGGAAAAAGGCTGAATCTCCTTGCTGGAGATCCCAGACCACGTCTCATTGAGAAACAGATAGAGGTGCCAGGGGGCAACTGCATTCAAGACTGCCCATAGCTGCCCTGCTAGCTACCAAGGACGTGGGCTTATGGTCACCCTGTGTGTATGTACAATCCGGGGTATGGTGGGGGTGGGGGTGCTGATTTGGGGAGATAAGAAAAAGGATTATGGAGCTTGATGCCCATGGCTCTCGTCTCTAATCCTAGCTATTTGGGAGGCTGAGATCGGAGGGTGGAGGTTCAAGACCAGCCCAGGCAAACAGTTCTCACAACCCCATCTCCAAAAAAGCAAGATGGACTGGAGGCCTTGCTCAAGTAGTACAGCACCTGCATTTTTTTTGTTTGTTTGTTTTTGGTTTTTGCAAGTGTGAAGCCCTGGGTTCAAACCCCAGTCCCACCAAAGGAAAAAAAAAAAAAATTTTTGCCCAAATAAAAGTGTAGCTCTTTTCCTAGCTCCTGGAAGGAAACCTCTGCGCCCTTGGAATGTCTCACTCAACCAGTAAGAGTGTCTCTGTTGCCAGGCACCAGAGGATCGTGGTTTGAAGCCAGCCCAGGGAAATAGTTCATGAGACCCTGTCTCAAAAGAACCCATCATAATAAAGGGCTGGTGGAGTGGCTCAGTGAAGATGCTGAGTTCAAGCCCCAGCACTGCAAAAAAAAACCCAAAAAGTCCCCAAAAAGTCTTTGTTTACCTGGGGCTTTGGGCCATGGTAGTTAGTTTATGCTAACAAGGGCACCCAGTACAGGTGACCTCTGCAGAGTTGGAGATTAAGGAACAAAGATCAGCCAGGCATGAGTGCCTGAGACTGAGCTCAATGAAAACCCCTGGGTGCCATCTGACCCTCTTTGGCAGCATCTCACTATGTTTCTGGTAAAGGAAGCACCGTCCACACAATTCCCCTCAGAAGGGGACAAGAGGACGCTCATGTCTGATGTTTCCAGGACTCTGCACCACACACCTTTGCCCTTTGCTGATTTTCATCTGTATCCTTTTGCTATTTAGACCATATTGGCTTCCCTGAGCTCTGAGTCCTCTGAGTGAGTCCCTGAATCTGAAGGTGCCCTGTAGTAAGTGGAGTGTCTTCATCCATTTTCCATTACTGTAATAGACTACCTAAGAATGGGTAATTTATGTAGAAAAGAGGTTTATTTTGGTTCCTGGTTCTGGAGGCTGGGAAACCCAAGATTGGAAGGCAGTGTCTGGTGAGGGCCTCATGCTACGTCAACTCACCTCTGAAAAAAGAAGAGCAAGCCAGTAGGAGCAGAAGAGAAAAGGGGGCTGAACACCTGCAATACTAACCCGTTCCCGTGAGTGGGCACTAACCCATTCATGAGGGTCTCCCTCCTTTCAGTGTGAGAGAGGCCAGGTGTGATGGTATATATCTGTAATCCCAGCTACTAGAGGGAGGCAGAGGTAGGAGGATCACAGTCCAAGGCCAGACTGGGCAAAAAGCTCAAGATCCTATCTGAAAAATAACTATTCATATAGCATTAGGATGGGCTGCAGTAAATATTCTTGTGCCCAGAATCCACCTCGCTAAATAGTCTTACTGTCTTACAAGAAGCATTGGTAAATGTCATGACGGTTGGCATCCGTTTTTTGAAGGATCCTTTTTTTTTTTTTTGGCAGCACTGGGGTTTGAACACAGGACCTCACACTTGCTAGGCCAGTGATCTACTGCTTGAACCAGTCCACCAGCCCTGTTTCGTAATGGGTAATTTTGATATAGGGTCTCGTGAACTATTTTCCTGGGCTGACTTTGAACCACGATCCTCCTGATCTCTGAGTGAATCTCTGACAGTGTGAAGAGACAGGTCCTGAGACCAAGCTCAGAGCTGAGGTGTTGTTTCTGCTTGGAGGGGCGCACCCAGGGAAGGGAGAGGATATTGGGGTATCTGCCTGGTGCTAGGAGTAGGTGGTCAGGGGACTTCATTCCCACTGTTCTTTTTTTTTAATGGGACTGGGATTTGAACTCAGGACTTTCTACTTGCAAAGCATTTATTCCATCACTTGAGCCACTCTTCTAGTTCATTTTGCTGGTTATTTTGGAGATGGGGGTCTTGAGAACTATTTGCTTGGGCTGGCCTTGAACAGTGATCCTTCTGATCTCAGCCTCCCAAGTAGCTGGGATTACAGGCGTGAGCCAGGCACCTGGCTTCACTGATTTTTTTTTCATCTACGATCCTACATATCCATTGCTAGAAGTCAGAACTATGGCTGACTCCTAGATGGGACTGATTTGTCTCTGTTCCCATCCTTACAGAAACTGAACAACTTGGACCACCAGAGCGCAGCCACCTGCCAGCATATCTCTGTCTCTCTCCACTCCAACCCTCAATGATGCATACTCAAGTGGTTTCACATCAGTTTATTAGACTTTCTAAAGGATTTTCCACTTCTCTAACAACCGAGGGGCAGGTGGTGGCTTGGGGTTTCTCAACTCCCTCCCATTCGGCCCTATTTTCCTCCTTCCCACTCAGGACACGGGAGTCAGGGGCCCCACCCAGAGTCCAGGACAGAGTACCCTCATTCCCCCAGGGATCAGGACTTCAGGCCTCTAGATCCTCCCCCTCCTTCTCAATGACCTCCTTTAACTTCCAGCTTCCCTGGGGCTCAGCGCGGGGTGGACAGGCGCCGGCATTCATGCATCCGATAGGCACACATGTAGAAAATCCCTGTGTGAGCAGAGACCTCAGTGAGCCCTCTGAAGTCACCTCTCACCCCAGGACACTCCCTCCTTCCCTTCCTTCCTCCCTGGATGTCCACAGCCCCCAGACTTCCCAGGCCTGGAGTCTGGCTTCAGACACTCAGGAAAGCATGTGGGACACCCCTCATCTCGCCCTCCAAAGCGCCCACCTGATCCCACACTTACATCTTCCCACCCTTTGGCCACATACCTGCAAAGAAGGTCATAAGCATGGCCACCCAGCCCAGGATGTAAGACCAGGAAAAGCGCCAGTCCCCGAAGCGGCGGCCCAGGAAGCTGACGGTGACTCCAGTATAAATGGCCAGGGCCAACAGGACAAAGAGGGCTGGGGAGAGGGGATGGGGGTGTGGGTGGGAAGGGGATGGGGTGAGGTTGGAGATGCGGAGGGGGTTGGAGATGGAGGAAGGGGTAGATTGTGACTGGTAAAGATGGGGCCAAGTTAAAAGTGAGAATAAAGATGATTAGGGGGTAGGGCTGGGGTGGGGATGAGACAGGGTTGGGTGGTAAAGGTTTAACTGTCACTGTCTCTGGAACAAGGGAAGGGGACTGAATCCTTGGCATTTCCTGACTAAAAGGAGTGACTTGTTTTTCAACAGACCTTAAGACCACACTGGAATTTATGTTAATGAGATGAGCCAGCTCAGGATGGGACCAGTCACCAGATAAACAACCCACCAGGTGACTAAAAAGTTAGAGTTTTGAATCTGTGATATCTGCTGGACCTCAGGGGATAGGTAGGAGAAGCTGCAGGTGGGCTAGTGATTCTGTCAATTGTCTGTGTGATGAAACTCTCAACAAAAGTCCAACCTGGTTCAGTGTGGTGGAGTACACCTGTAATCTCAGCATTTAGGAGGCAGAGACAGAGTTTGAGACCAGCCTGGGCTACACAATGAGACTCTGTCTCAAACAAAGGAACAAACTTACACCCCGTGGGCCCTAGCTGTATCCTCTGTAATAAAACTGTGTTTGTAAGTATAGCTCTTTCTTGACTTCTGAATTTTTCCAACAAATTTTGAACCTGAGTAGGTCTTGGGAACCCCCTGAACTGTAGCTAGTCGGCCAAAGGTGCTGGCAGCCTGGGAAGCCCACTTATGTCTTATGTCTGGGATCTGTTTCCTGACCTGTGTCATCTGACAGGAACTCTGGGTGGGTAGGGCCAGAATTAAGTTGAGAACACCAAACAAATCCTGTCAGAATCTAGTAGAATCGGACATAGTCATTTGCAATTAAAAAGGACTGTTTAAAAAAAAAAAGAGTTGTTTTGGGGTAGGTGGGGATGGAGTGGAGGATAAGGATGAGGGGGACCAGGGTGAGGTGAGGATGGTAAGGAGTTGAAATGGGACAGGGGAGGGGGGAGGGTATGGTGGGGTCACTCACTGGAGGCAAAGAACATAATGCCTGCGGAGAAGGGCCGGGAGAGGCGAGTGAAGGTGGACTGCTGGGCGAAGGCCAGGATGGCCATGATGATGCCCGAGGTGGCACACAGAGCAGACAGGATCATGAAGGCTCGGGTGGCATTCCAGTACGCTGTAGGAACACCCCATAGTCACTTAGCTTCTTGGCTTTCAGTGGGGATGCTAACTTTGTCTGAGCTGGCCTTGAACTCTCCAGGATATGTCTTCTCCTTCTCCAGATATCTGACAGTTTCTTTTCCATTTCGCTGCAAATGCCCCACCCCCTTTCTCCTGGCAAACTCCTAGTCATCCTCCAAAGCCCAGCTCTCAAGATCTACTCTGAACAGTGTCTTTCAGTTGCTGGCTATCATCTTCACCTGCTGCTCTGACTTGTCATGGTCTTGTCTGTCTCCCCCTCCTCTCTGAGGACAGAGGATTGGTGGATTCTTGCCACACACATCCCTAGCACAGATTTGGTTTGCACAAAGGTCTGGAGAAATGTTTGTTGAATGAATGAATGAATGCTGCTGCCCCATGTCCTCCTGCCAATCACACGCTCTGTCCTCTCTCCTATTGCTCTTTTCCATTTAATCCTCTGCCACACTTGCCTATATCTGAAAAGTTCTGCCATTTGTTTTTTGTGTTTTTTTTGTTTTGGTGAGACTAGAGTTTGAACTCAGGGCTTCACGCTTGCAAAACAACCACTTGGAGCCACTCCTCCAGTCCATTTTGCTCTAGTTATTTTGGAGATGGGGGTCTCTAGAACTCTTTGCCTGGGGCTGGCCTCGAATCTCCACCCTCTCGATCTCAGCCTCCAAAGTAGATAGGATTACAGGAGGGAGCCACCTGCATCCAGCTGCCCATTTCCTTTTACTTTGTATATAATGTCTGTTTCTTCCCACCCAATTCTCAGCTGTCCACCCCCTCAGGAGAGCGGCCGGCCAGCGGAACACTTGAGGTCAAATCTTACTCATATCCACAACAGAACGACTGCCCAGTGTTGCTGGGACAGGGAAGAGAAGGGGTGGCCCCTTGTAGAGTGCTTAGGACAGACCGCACACAGGACATGGGAAGTCCTTAGTAAACACAGGCATTGTTGTTACTATTCTTAATAATACATGATTTATTATGGGTGTATTAATAAGCTATGTGTCATGAAATATACACTGCATATTATTATGTAATATAATGCATGATACAATGTATCAAATATAATGATGAATAGATAGATAGGAAGATGAATGGATGGATGGCTAGATAGATTGATAGATAGGAAGATGAATGGATGGATAGATAGATAGACAGGCAGACAGAGATGGCCTGGCACACAGTAAATACTAAAATATTCTTCATCCAAGTTGGGCATGGTGGTGTGTGCCCTTAATCCCAGCTACTCCAGAGATGGGGTATAGGGATGGAGAGTTCGAGGCCAGCCCAGGCAAACTTAGTGAGACCTTATCTTAAAAACAACACAAAAGGGCTGTAGTTATAGCTCCAGTGGTAGAGGGCTTGCCTAGCATACAAGGTCCTAGGTTCAAGCCCCAGGACCTCCCTGCTCCACCAAGCCCTTTGTGTAGTATTTAGCACACTCACAGCTTCTGTGACTCCCAGTCCCTAACAGTGACCCATAAGAGATATTTTTAGTACACTGTTCCTGCCACCCACCCTAGCCCCAACTGTGACACCTTTTTGTATCAGGAAATTGCACCTCTTCACACTAATTTCTGAACCTATACATCCTGTCACCAAAACTAAAACTAAAAAGCCTTCCTGAAATCCCTGCTCTGCAGTTTCCCTGCTGAGTAACCTTGGACTGGCCTCTTTCCCTCTTGGAGCCACAAGGCTCATCCTGGGGAATACCATGGGCTCTTGGCTGTGAGGTGGGAGTTTGTGGGGAGGAAGGTGCCCCTGGTCTGAGACTCACCGATGCTTTCCGTCTGCAGGTAGCACTTGGGACCCAGGCAGTACCGCCATAGGCCCTGGTGGGCAAAGGACCCCGACAGCCGGTACTGCATCCAGTGATCCGTGGCTGTGGCCACCACCAGGAGGATGGTCCCCACCCAGGCACAGAAGAGGCCGCCACCCATGAAGCTGTACATGGTGATCTGTGGGGAAAGGTAGGGCTAGAACTGGACTCCTGGGTCCTAGTGGGGAGGAGGGGACATGGAGACTTAGGGCTGGGGTATAGACCCCTGGGTCTGAGGGGAGACAGCTGGGGCCTGAACCTCTGAGTCTGAGGGAGGAGGGCTGGGCCTGGATTCTTGGGTCTCAGAGAAGGGCTGGGGCCTGGACCCCTGGACCCCTGGATCTGAGGGAGGGCGATGCCCTGAGCCTGGACTCTTTGGTTCTTGGTAAGAAGCAGACTGGGAGTCTGGAATCCTGAGTCCTAGGTGAGGTGAGGGTGGGGTTGAGACACCAGTTCCCTCGGTGAGAAGGGGGTTGCAGACCTAGGCCCTGGATCCTGGGGAAGAGGGCTGCAGATCCCATGCCTGGTGCCTACCTGAGTGGCAGAGCCTGCTCTGAGCCCTCCTTCTGCCACAGCCCCTCTGTGCAGACTGAGCTGAGCCAGGTCCCGGGCCTCTCAGCCCCGTGGGTCCCCCAAATCCCTTAAGCTACCCCACACAATGGCTCCATGGCCCAGTAGCTTCCAGCAGGCAGAAATGCAGTGGTGGCAGAGGCCCCAAATGGAAATCGCTGAAACAGGGATCCAGGTGGTTCCCACTCCCAGCCCTGGCCCCTTTGGCCTCTCTCTGTGACCTTTCCCCAGGCCCTCCCACTTCTTGCAGTGCCCATGGGGCTGGGCTGAGCCACAGAAGCACGAACAACAAACACACAGTGATGAACGACAGTTATGCATTTATTGTTGACATCAGAGGTGCAGGGAACAGCACTGGGGGGGGATACAAGTGTCTAGACATGTTGGACCAACAATATTTCTTGTGGGGTGGGGTCAAGAGGTTGGCAGAACTGGGCTGGGGCAGAAAGGATGTGGAGGATGGTGGGAGATGCTGCTGTAACTGAGACTGGCCATGCAACTGGAGTGTAGGAAAAAGTTAAAGATGAGGATGGGGCCGAGCTGTGGCTTAAGTGGTAAAGCGCCTGCCTCGTAAACACAAGGCCCTGAGTTCAAACCCCAGTACCACCAACAAGAAAAAAAAAAAATAGCATGGGTTGGACTGAAGTTAGGAATGAGAACAAGACACTGGGAAGGAAGGTGGGTTAGGACTGAAAGGACAGAAGGGTGGAGAAGGGTTAGGGAAGGGAAGGAATGGATTTTAGACTATGGTACCAAGACAGGGAAGGGGCTTAGGAACAGGGGAGGTTGTGGACGGGGTGTTTCTTGGGGGTACCTCTGATGGGCTAAGGTCACTCTGAGCTCCAGGAGATCCCTCTGGGTGACCTGGTGCTGGAAGCTCTCCAGGGTCTTAGTACTCTGTCTCCCAGTTCTCGGCAGCAGGTGCCGGGTTTGGGGCAGGCTCCAGATCTCTGGTTTCCTTCTTTCCATCCTGGGCCTGTGGTGTCATTGCTGGGGTCTTAGGCCAAGCCCCATGGTTCCCCACCCTACCCCTCTCTGACTGCTCATCTCTCCCAGGACCCCATCTTGGCCGGCCCAGGCCCCTGGCAGGCCTGCGCTGACCTTCCCAGCCCCCACGTCCCCATCCACGTCCTCTGGGTGGCCTGGTGGTTGTGCCTAACTGACTGTGGCATGTCTGGGTGGAGCAGGGACAGGAAGGCAAAGACTGTTGGAGGCTGTAGGCCCCCATCAGAGCACTGTGCAAGAGGTATGAAAGGGTATCCAGGCGGATAGGGACAGTTACAGAGGCTAGGTGCTCAGGCAGCCCCAGGTGGGTAGGGTCTGGGGTTCCCAGGAGCCAAGGTGGCAGGGCGGGAATGGGCACAGGGGGCCGTGCTTCAGTCCCGGGTGATGGTGCGTGTAGCTCGTTCCTAGGATAACAAAGAAGACAAGTCAATGAGTCTCACCGTGGTATCTAGTGGCCTTTGCTCCTCTGCCAGGGGTCCACCTCTGCCTTCCTCACCCCCTGCTCTGTCTTACTCCCTCTTCTTCCAGAAATTAGTCCCGATTCTGGGTGGCCTTGCTTAAGATGTGTCATTCTCGCAGTCATTTTGCAATTCTGTTGGTTTTTTGTTTGTACTGTGGTGCTGGGGATGGAACCCAGGGCCTGGCACACGCTAGACAGGTGCTCTACCACTGAGCTACACCACCCAGCCCCATTTTCCCATTCTGAACCTTAATTTCTTGTATCAAAAGATGACTTTGGGTGTGAGTATGAAAGAGTTGAGTCGGGTTAATAAATGTAGAGAATTCTTTTTTTTTTTTTTCAGTCCAATGACCTGGCTGGTTTTGGGAAATTTCTTTGAGGAATATCTGTTTCCAGCTCTTACTCTGTTTCTCAGTGCCCTGCTCAACACTTGGTCACCATGTTCTTTTACAGTTCTGCTTCTCTGTGCTGATACCTGAGCTCTTTTTGTTTTTCCTGCTATGCTTTCTGGGTCTGTCCCACACCAACCCCTATGATTTTTCTCTGTCCCCTTCTCTCTCTTGGGGCTCTACTTTTTTGGGAAGTCTTGTCTCTCACCCCTCGGACCCATCCCTGTCCTTTAGCTGTTCCATGTTCCTGCGAGTCTCTGAAGTCTTCCAGCAATTTCCTCCAGCTCCTTCCAGGGCTCTGGACGTTCTGGGAGGGGCGTAGGAAAAAGATGGCGGGGCTCCGCCCACGTGCGCAGGAATGGGCGTGGGATTCTGAGAGCCAGAGTTGCCCCAGTTGTGGGGGCCGGGATCTCCCTACTCACCCCTGGGTTTTTTGAGGCCTCACCTCTCCTTCCTCAGTGATATAGGCTGCAGATCTGCCCCATCAGAAAGAGAAGTCTAGGCCCGAGCCCTCCTCCCTCAGACCAGAGGTCCAGGCCCCGGCCTCTTCCCTCAGACCCAGGAATGTAAGCTCAGCCCTCCTTCCTCAGACCCAGGGGTCCAGGCCCAGCCCTCCTTCCTCAGACCCAGGGGTCCAGGCCCAGCCCTCCTCCCTCAGACCCAGGAATGTAGGCTCAGCCTTCCTCCCTCAGACCCAGGGATTCAGGTATTTTTCTTCCTCCCTCCCTTCCTTCCTTCCTTCCTTTCTCTCTCTCCCTCCCTCCCTTCCTTTCTTTCTCCCTCCCTTCCCTCCTTCCTTCCTTCCTTCCTCTCTCTCTTTTTTTCTCTTCCCCTCTCCCCCTCCTCTCTCATGGTCTCTGTCTCTCTGCCTATGTCCTCAGATCAGTTCTTTAGGACTACAGGGACACTTTAGGGAGAGAAGTGTGGCATTTGGGCACACAGTGGGTAGTGGGGATAGTGCATGGTGGGAATCTTTGCCATTCTAGGTCTGTTCCATTGCTTTGTGACCTAGACTTTTTCCCATCTTAGAAATGGAGCTAATGTTAGCACCCAGGTTCTCAGACACTTGTCGTATCTTTTGATAGTATGCACGTAAAGTAGCAAGCAGAGTCTAAACCAACATTGGTCTGGAATCAGTGAGATTTATGTATTATTATTGTTGGTTACTATGTTACTATCTTACTATGTTACTGAGAAACTATTCTCACTTTTCTGTCCATTTATTCAAGAAATACTTATTCCAGAATGGGGATATGGCTCAAGTGGTAGAGCACTTGCCTACCAAATCCTGGGCCCTGAGTTAAAATTCAGCCCCCAAAAAAGAAAAAAGGAAAAGAATTATTTACTTAGAGCCTGTTTTGTGCTGGACTTGGGCTGGTTGCAGCCCCTAAAGAAACTTTCAAGCCTGTGAAGGGAAAGGACTAGAGACCAACAGTGCATTTTCTATAAGAATCCAAGCACTCGGGAGGCTGAGGCAGGAGGATCTTGAGTTCAAGGCCAGACCCTGTCTCAAAAAATGTACTTACAGATGTTAAATCAGCTCAAGGGGTTGTTTAAATAAGGTGCTTAAAGAAGGTGATGGTAGAAGGTTCTAGAAGACCTGGAGGTTGAATATTCCAGTGTAGAGGACAGCCAGTGCACAGGTGTGACCTGTTTTTGTTTTAAACCAAAGTTTATTTTGGAATGTCTTTATATATGTTTATATATAAATATAAACCTTTTTTTTTTGGTGGTACTGAGGCTTGAACTCAGAGCCTTTACCTTGAGCCACTCCACCAAACCTATTTTGTGAAGGGTTTTTTTCTAGATAGGGTCTGTCAAACTATTTGCCTGGGCTGGCTTCAAACCGCAATCCTCCTGATCTCTGCCTTCTGAGTAGCTAGGATTACAGGCGTGAACCACCCCACCTGGCTATTTTGGAATGTTTTTATATTTACAGAAAAGTTACCTGATAATACAGAGAATCCCCCTGTATCCCTCACCGAGCTTTCCCTAGTGTTATCATCTGACGTTGTCACAACTAAGAAACAGACATGACATTAAGTGAAGGCCATGTTTTCTTTGGATTTCACCAGTTTTCACACCCATGTTCTTTTTTCCTATTCCAGAAACCCGTCCGGAAAACAACACAGTGTTTCATCAACCTGCAACCACTTCACAGTCGTCCCTTGGTTTCACAACCTTAACGGTTCTGTAGTGGAGCCAGTCAGTTACTTTATTTTATTATTTTTGAGTAAAGTGGGAGAGTTTATTGAGATAGGAAAGTAACAATGAGTAGAGCTCTCATAGCTGGGAGGGGTCCCGAGAGAGAGTGGCCAGTTGGTTATTTCTTAAAGTGCAGGTCTGTCTAATGCATAATACTAACTCACTCAATCCTCATTTCACAGATGACCAACCCGCACCTCAGAGAGGTTAAGTAACCTGCCCAACGTCACAGAGCTACTGACTAGCAGAAGCTGGGATTTGAACCCAGGCAACCTGACCTGAATCTGTGCCTTATTAATAGAGACACAAGCAGGAGGCAGGTTGTATAGGATCTTGTAGGCTGCAATAAAGATTTTGAATCCTTCCTTCCTTCCCTTCCTTCCTTCCTTCCTTCCTTCTCTCTGTCTCTTTTTGGTGATGTTGTAGATGGAACCAGGGCCTCCTGCATGCTAGGCAACTGCTCTACCAGTGAGCTACACCCGCAACCCCTCTATTTCTTAATTATTGGGAGTATGAAAAACTTTGAACATTTGTAAGCAGAGGTGTAACATAATTTGCCTTTGGCCAGGGGTGCGGCTGGATTTGAACTCAGTGCTTCAGCTTTACAACGCAGGCGCTCTACCGCTTGAGCCACTCCTCCAGCCTATTTTGCTCTGCTAGAGATGGGGTCTCAAGAACTATTTCCCGGGGATGACCTCAAAACTCGATCCTCCTGATCTAACCTACCAAGTAGCTAGGATCACAGATGAGAGCCACCTGCGCCTGGCCATTTTAAAAGACTTTAAGAAGTCCCAGGTACTAGGGTAGCTCTGTGCTGGATGCTGCTGGTGACCCCGAGTGGCAGGAGTAGAACTTTTATCATGAGGCTTGGCTTCTGTTTTGTTTGGCGACTGTGATGAAAACCCGCATTTCCAGCGTTCAGGACCTCATTTTTCAAAGGGGCGTCTTATGTCTAGGCGGGGCTGGAAAATTAGGGTTCCAGTCTCTCACTCTGGTACTTACAAGCGCGTGACCTTGAGAAAGACACTTGGGTTTTCTCGGATTCACACCGCGTTCACTGCACAATTCCAGAGAATGGGATTGTTTGTAGCTTGCTCTTTTAATTGCTTCGCTCCAAACCGGGGACATCATCTTCGCTTATCAGTGCCTGTCTCTTTAAGGTCTGCTTCGAGGCGGGATCTTGTGTTACTTGGTAAAATGCTTTTTACTCGCTTCCAAAATTGACAGGCAAGTTCCGAAAACGGACCAATCAACTCCTGGGTTGGAATAAGGACGGCTTCCGATTTGCTGGGACCTCCAGTGGCATTTGGTTCTATCCCCGCCCCTTCCTTATACCTAGAGACGCGCTAGCCACATCCTCATCTCTGATTGGTCATCGAGCTCGTCGAGGGGTGGAGTCGTTCGCTATCCTTCCCCTTTTTAATGGCTGAATTTTTTAGCGCCAGCCTGACCCTTTCGCTCTGATTGGTTACAGCCTTTCCGCGCCTTCTTGAAACATTTTTACTTTGGCTTTTGTCTGTGCTTGCTCAGCGTGTGCAGGGGCTGGTGTCATGCTGGGGGACTCAGCCAGGTCCGGGGAGCCCCAGCAAAACCTGGAAGGGAAACGGGCATTTGCGGAGGCCCATTGCTACATCCACTGCTTAGGATCGGCTCATTCCCCTGCCCCGTGAGGGGCCCTAGACCATCAGAGTTCCAAGATTTGACCTTCAGGTCTTCCCACTGTAAAGGGGCTCAAGGACTCTCTTAAGTCCTCCTCTCAATTGCTCCTGCTCCCATAAGAGTCCCTGGGGCCCTGCTTTTCCCCCTAAGCTTTCCCCACTCATCTAACCGGGTGCAGGGTTGGCGACAGGGCCTCTCCACGTAGTGGCCCCTCTCATTGCCATTCCCACCCCCCCTTTCGTAGTGGCCCCTCTCATTGCCATTCCCACCCCCCCTTTCTAGGTGCAGGAGGGCATCCTTTCCTCCCTTCTCTGCTTCTCTCCATATCTAGGGGCTCTCACCTCACTGCTGCTTTCTCAGCTTCTCCACCCTGCAGGGTCACGTTTGGACTCTGCTCTGAGAGTTCTATTCTTAATCCCATCCCTCTTCTTTCCAGCCCCCAGCCTCTTCAGAGGACCTGGGGAATCATGCAGAGTGCAGAGTATAAGGATTGATCTCCAGCCAACTCAGGCTGGGTATTTTTAGAAAGTACCAAGCCAGACTGGGTGTTTGGTGGCTCAGGCCTGTAATCCTAGTTCCCTGGGAGGCTGAGATTTGGAGGATCTCAGTTCAAGGCCAGTCCAGGCAAATAGTTCACAAGACCTCCATCTCCAAAATAACCAAAGCAACATGGACTGGAGGTGTGGCCCAAGTGGTAGAGCGCCTGCTTTGCAAGCATGAAGCCCTGAGTTCAAACCCCAGTCCCATCAAAATAAATAAATAATAAAAAATACCAAGCCAGGCATATTGGAATAGCCTCGGATCCCAGCACTGGGGAGGCTGAGGCAGGAGGAGTACAAATTCAAGGTCAGCCTGGGCTTCTTAATGAGACTGTCTCAAAAAACAAAGGAACAAAACCTCATAAACTGGGTAGTTTTTCAACAGCAAATGAATTTCCCACAGCTCAGGAGGCTCAGAAGTCCCAGGCGAAGGTGGTGGTGGGTTCCATGGAGTCCTCTTTCTGGTTTATGGGCAGTGCACTTGGGCTGAAGGGTAAAGCAGATCTCTGGGGCCTCTTTTATTGGGGCACTAATTTCATTCCCGACCTAGTCACCTCCCAGACACACAGGAAACTTGAAGGAATGTTACAGTACACACACTAACTGGATTCTATAACTAACACTTTAATAAATTTGCATCATCACACGTTGGCCTAACCATTCCTCACCCATCCATGATCTGTCTTGTTGATGTATTTCAAAGCAAGTTGCAGCCATCATAGGTCAACCCTAAACACTGTAGCTCACAAATCATTAACGAGAGCTCACCACTTGCTTAAGTACCATTTACAATGTAATGCAGAACTTACATTGTTTTTATATTTTATTTTAATCATTTAAAATTTTAAATTAACACAAAAATTGTACACATTTATGGAGTGCTCTGTGATCACTCAATACATGTATACATTTCATGATGTACAAATCGGGGTGAGCATGTCTACTCAAACATTTATTTCAGGGTGGTGAAAACATTCAAAATACAGGGCTGGGATGTGGCTCAAGTGGTAGAATATCTGCCTAGCAAGTGCAAAGTCCTGAGTTCAAACCCCAGTA